AAAAAAAAAATCCACAGAATTCCAAAATAGTTAGTCATTTTTCAGCTTTACACTCCAGTCCCATTCACTATATTTATTTATTTATTTACTATTTTATGAAAATAATATCTTAAAAAATTGACTTCTAAATTCTACAGATGATACAGGTGGGAAACAAAACAAAAAAAAATCATCCAATGTTTTGCTCCAGTCTCCACAGTCTCCATTCACTTTAATTATATATATGTAAGATGTCATTATACAGACTCTGAAACAAATCTTTTTATAAGAAATAAATACATATGTTTAATATTTACTGTTTTATTTAAAAATCTTAAGCGTGAGTATATGCCAAATATTTATTCCTCAAAACAACTTTAAAAAAATAATAGTAAAAATACTTTAAAATAATCGATCGGGAATTAATGTATATTATTTTAGATAAAAAACATTCATAAAAGTGCAGTTACATTCCAGTGAATGCATCTTGAATAGATGTTTTGATACACAAACATGAAATAGTTTTTATGTTCTTCCAGTTTCATGTTCAAAACCGTCGTTTCATAATCAAGTCGGAGCGAATGTGACTATAACACTATTAAATTGAAGTCTTTAGCGGCGCACACATTGTACATTCTTATTGGTGGACACAAAGAGTGACAGTCCGTTCCTCCAATCATCGATCTCAAGAGAGGCGGAACTTCCGCTGACAAAAGATGGAATGAGCGGAAACCGCTGCAGAAACCAACCGCCTTTCCTCGCGTACTGTATCTGGAGCAGGTCTCGCTGTCTGTCGGCCTGAAAAACGGACCGCGGACGAACACAAACGAGCAGAACGAGGAGCGGTGCACAGAGGGACGACAAGATGCCGCACAACTTCCGGCCCGGGGATATTGTCTTTGCTAAAATGAAGGGCTATCCCCACTGGCCGGCCCGGGTGAGAGCACACACCCCCACCAGCTTCACCTCAGCGCCTAGCCATTTACGCATCATATGTATATATATATAGTTTTTGCAAACAAACTCGAATTATATATTACTTCAGAGTCTAAACATCTTAATTATGTGTTTATTTCATATTATTA